TCCCTGTGTCCTGTCCATCCCTTGTCCCAAGTCCCTCTCCAGCTCTCCTGGAGCCCCTTTAGGCCCTGGGAGGGGCTCTCAGGTCTCCCTGGAGCCTTCTCTTCTCCAGCCTGCCCTTGGACACTTCCAGGGGTGGGGATGGAACAATCAGTCCTAAATCAAAAAAACCAAGAGGGTTTTAGAACCCTCCTCACCCTCAGCTTTGCTTCCTTCCTACCAAGGGGGTTTTACCCAGAGTAGATACATTCCAGGAGCATTTTTCCATGGTTGTGCTGCTGAGGTGGTGCCAATTCCCACAGGAATTTTCCTTTGGGTGTCAGAGCCCTGGAGACAAGAGCCCTCTACCCTAATCCAAGCGGGTCCTGGTTTAATCCCTGGAGCAGCCAGTGAGAAGCTGAAAGAGTCCCATTTGTGCTGGTTCTTCCCAGCAGTGTTTTCTGGCAGAAGGACCCACTGCTGGTCCAGGCCCTGGTTCAACTTCTGCAAAACAGGACCTTGGATCATCCCTGAAAAGGCTGGAAGGGCTCAGCTGCTGGAGGGAACTTTTTAGATGCCAAGGAAGGACAGAGGGAAAAGCAACTCTGGCCATGCCCGTCCTCTTTGCCCACTTTAAATGAACAATGGGATTGAGGAGATAAGCAGGGACAGAGCCAGCAGGAATTTCAATGATGGCACCAAACGCTGCCCTCTGGCAGTGCCTCCATGGGAGAGAGCTGGAAAATGCCAAGGAACAAAAAAAAACAAACAACCACGGGAACAGAGCAGAGCTGCGGCCACGGGATGTGAAACGCTGCTGGCAAGGGGAGCCCTCCTCCCAAATCCACAGGGGCTGGGAGGCAGGAGGGAGGGCTGGGGGTGCCAGCCCTCCCGTGGGCACAGGGCACAAGGGGCTGCTGGAAAAAGCTGGAAAAAACAACCTGGAGTGGTTGTTTATGGGCCGAGCGAGGAGCTGGAAAGGGCTCAGTCACACTCAAACCGAGTGTGACTCCAGCGGGACTGGACTTGTTGTGAAAGGTGGGACTCCCCGGGCTGAGGAGTCTCTGCAGGCTCAGATTCCAGCCAAAGAAATGGTCACAATCACCCCAAAGTCACCAAAAAGTGACCCTGAGCTTCCTGCTCGCCCGCGGCTTTTTGTCCCCAACACACACACCCCCAACCCACCAAGGTTTTGCCATGGGAGACAACTCCCAGCTGGAGTGAAGCCCCCAAATCCTCCCCAGAAAGCTCTGCCCGGTCACTAATTGGGGGAATAACCAGTTTCCCAGGGGCACTTTTCCTCCCACAGCTAATGAACCCCCGGCTGCACGGGGTGGGAGTTTTCCAGCCAGCAGGATTTGTCTCCCCTGTCACGGGCAATCAATGCACCTCAGTGGTCACCAGCCTTCCCAAAGTGCCGTTTCCACTCCTTAAAATGACAGGAAGGCAGGAATAAATGAAAATTGGTGGATTGCCAGGGCTGGGGAGGGGGGGGATGGGACTCTCAGAGATGTTCTGCTCCGCTCAGGGCTTTGCTGCCCTGGTTGCTCCTGCATCCTCCTCCTCGCTGGCCTCGTTCAACACGTTCATTTGGGAAGAATTCATTGCTTTGGGACAATTTCCTGCTCTTCTCACCAGCTGGAGAGACCCTGAGATTCCCTGAGGTGCAAACCTGGAATTAGCTTTGCTTGCACGCTCAGAGGTCCAGCAAATGCTGTTCCCAACTCTGCCTGGAAAAGTTTGGGATGGATTATCTGCTCCCTGAGCAGATCACAGTCATCCTCCCTTTTCCTCCCTGCTACGACCTCAAGCTTGGTCCTGTTGGGTGAAAACACGTCCCCTGGGCACGGGGAATCTCCTGGGCACCACTCTCCAAGGTGGAGATGCTAAGGAAGGACAGAGGGAAAAGCAAGTCTGGCCATACCCGTCCTCTTTGCCCACTTTTCCCTGTTCAACGGGAAAAGGAGTCCGAGATAAATCCAACAGCACTGAGTGATGGTTCCCTGGGCCAGTTGGGGTCTCTTGGCGAGGGCAGAGATGCCACCACGTCACCTCCCTCTTGCAGGTTCCTCCCTGGATGAGGAGGAGCCCCAGTTCCAGTTTGGGTGCCCTCGGAAACTCAGCGGCTCCGTTTTTTGGGAACTAAGACTTGGTTAATAAAAGGACCGTTTGCTTTTTTTCCCCGGGCCCCAGATGGGAGTCAGGCAAGCGACCAAGCCCGAATTCCTTCTTCTCCAAGTGTTTCAAGCAAAACACTCCCTCAAATCCCCCCTCCTGCCCTTGCCAAAGCACAACCGTGCGGGCGACGGCGAGGCCGGAGCTCCGCGAGCGGCAGCTTTCCCGGGATCCGGAGGACTGCTTCGGGTTGGAAGGGATCTTAAAACTCAACCTGTGGCCAGGGACACGTCCCACTAGCCCAGGTTGCTCCAACCCGGCCTTGGACACTCCCAGGGATGGGGCAGCCACAGCTTCTCTGGGAAAACCTGTGCCAGGGCCTCCCCACCCTCCCAGGGAGGAATTCCTTCCCAATATCCCACCTAAATTTCCCCTCTTTCACTTTGAAGCCATTCCCTGTGTCCTGTCCTTCTATCCCTTGTCCCAAATCCCTCTCCAGCTCTCCTGGAGCCCCTTTAGGCCCTGGAAGGGGTTTAAGCTCTCCCTGGAGCCTTCCCTTCTCCAGCCTGGCCTTGGACACTTCCAGGGATGGAGCAGCCACAGCTTCTCTGGGAATTCCATCCCA